CTGGTGCTGGAGCCGAGCGGCCCGCACCACGGCCTGCTGTGCCCGCTGTGGGGACAGGGTGGGGTCAGGGCCAGCCGAACCGAGGCCCTTCTCTCGGCCCGGCCCTCCAAGTCTGCCTGCCCAGAGGCCTTTCTGGCCCCATCCCGCCCCCAGCTGCCCACTGCGTCCTCACAGCAGCAGTCTCCTGAACCCCCCCACCGCCCACTCGCTTCTCTGAGGCCTACAAACTGCCTCAACACCCCTCACTTGGCGGTGCCGAGGACTGCTGCATCCCCAGCCCAGAGGATCCTGGACAAAGGGTCTTAGTAAAGGGTGGCCGGGGGTCCCCAGCAGCAGAGCGCCAGCCGGGGTGGGGCTAGGCTGCCCACACCTGGGAGAAACAAAGGGCCCCAGCAGGCTGGCAGGCACTCACCAGCCTGCGAGCCGCCTTCTCCCGCCGCCGTTGCTGCTCTGTCTTTTTCTCCATGGTGTTTGGGCGGGTGGGAATGGGCCCGGCCTCAGCTCCTGCAGCCTCAGGCTCCTGGCCCGGGCCGGGCTCCCCCTCGCCATCCGACTCCTCCAACAGGCCCTGGCACAGCTCCTGGAATGTGGACTCCTGGGGGAGGCGGGGAGGGGAGGAGGCAGTGTCAGTGACTAGAGGGGAGGTAGGTCTGGGCGGGGCTGCAGGGCTGCCCTGGGTGGCAGCTCACCTGGGTGGCGGCCTGCTCTCCTGCAGGCAGGGCCAGCTGCCGCTCCAGCTTCTCCGTCTCCTTCTGCCGCTGCAGCTCGACCTCGTGGGCCGCCAAGAGCAGGGTCTGTGGGGGGTGGGGCGGGGTGAGGACCGTCCCCAGGGCTCTCCTGTAACTCCAGAGACCCAACTCTCAGCTCCCACCTGCCCCACGGCCTGGCCGCTCCTCCCCTCCCCTTCTCCGGCGCATCCCACCCTCTTCCCACTCCCACCGAGCTGCCTGGTCTCCACGCCTGTGCTCAGCATCATTCACGTCAACTGTCTAGAGCAGACAGATCCCAGAGCCTGGACGCCTGGGGGCTGCAGGCTGCGGGGAATGAGGCTTCCCTAGGGTGAAGTGTGGGGCTGTTTCTCTGCAAAGCAGTTGCAGACAGAAGAGGCCTGTCTGCTCCTCACAGGGCGCCGGCCCCCGTAATGCCCTGAGCAGGCTGGTGGGTCCTCTGATGGAGTGCATGCGCCGCTGCGTTCCCGGGCAAGGAGTCCGGCCCTCGGCCCTGCTGGCTGGTTGCTGCCCCAACACACATCCTGCACCACTCGATTTCTCTCTGGGAACCTGGCTAGCAGGGTGCCTTGAGGGCGGGCACTTCTGTCCCCATCATCGGTCACATCTGTGCTTGACAGACGCCTGTGACTCGAACACGAGGACTCTCAGGGCCAGGTTTCCCGGTCGATGAACGGCCTCCACCCTTGATAAATGTCGCCTGGTCACCAGCTCACCACCGTGTGATCACGACCTATGTGTCTGTCCTGTGGACTTGCCAAGAGGCGCCTCGTCTCACCCCTGGGCCTTTGTTCATGCTGTTCCCTCCGCCTGGAAACCCATTCCCCTCCACCTGGCGCAAACCCCCTCAGTCTCCATCTCCACTCTGGCGTCTCCTCCTCCAGGGACCCTTCTTGACCCCCGGCCCAGTTGTGCAGGGCCATTGCTGTCTGGGCCCAGGCTTGTTACCTCAATGGGCCATGAACCCATGAGGACAGGCCCAGGGCTGCCTAAGTCACTTCAGAGTCCCCAACACAGGGATGCAATGGCCAGGGCGTGCTGCCCACATGGCAGAGCTCAGCTGACAGAGGCCGGGGCAAGTACCTGGTGGTCTTCAAAGGTGGGGCGGTAGGAGGCTCCGGCGGGCACCACCTCCACGGCAGGCGCCTGGGAGGGCTTGGAGTGGAGGCGCGGTGGCCGCTGCGAAGGCGAGAGGAGGTGGCTGAGACTGTGTGAGGCTGACATGTCCCCAGTGTGGTGCCAGGACAGGGGCCTTTGGGGGCGATGGTGCCACGAGAGCGTGCCTTCAGGGGACCCTGGCCCTGTCTCTCTGTGTCCCTCCCACCTTTCTCCACTCACAGAGGCCCTGCTAGGGTCCCAACTCTTCCCGCACCCAAGCTCCAGCTGGTCCTGGTGCTTCCGCCCGAGGACTGCCCTGGTCACCTGCAGCCTGGCTGCTGCTGGCTCAGGCCCCCTCAGGCCTTGGCTCCGGGTCTCTGGCCCTGCACACCCGTCCCTCGGCAGTCTGACCTCAGAGCAGCCACCTGTGTCCCAGTGCTCTCTCTCTGGCAGCTCCTACCCCACGGGTCCCTGCACCAGGACAAACCTCCACACCTCACCTTCACCCCTCTCTTCTTGGTCTGCTCCAGGAAAAACTCATCCTGGCCGGCCAGCGGCCTGTCCAGAGGGTCTGCGGAGAGAGTGAGGGGCAGCTGCTAGGGCGCTCCCCGGCAGAAGAGGGTTGTGGCCCAAGGAGCCCCCTGGTCACCCATTTCATAAAGGCTGCACGAAAGCTCAGGGGAGGGAAGGACTGACTTGCAGACCCTGGGGGCTTGAACACCAAGCAAAACCATGTCTGGATGGCGTCAGAGAGTGGAGGAGCCCCACGGCTGAGAGCAGGAGCCTCCACACCTCAGTAAGGGAAGGACGCCACTTCGGAACGCGCGCCTCGGCTGGCAGATCACCAAAGCAACACCCACAGGGCCCCCATTAGACACTCGCTCTTGTGCAGTGCACAACACACGAGTGCGCGTGGCAGTCCCATCCCTGTTCACGGGGCAGGAGGATCACTCACTGTCTGGGGCCCAGAGGTCATAGAAGGGCCGCTCGATGGTGTCCTGGGGCCCAGGCTTGGCCGTGGCCACGGGAGGGCTGCGGAGTCGGGCCTGGGCCCTGCGCACCTCCCGGGGCAGCTCTCCCTGCTTGGCCAACCTCTCCCATAGCTGCTCCTTCCGCCTGAGCTTCTTGGCGTTGGGAACTTGGTGGGCAAGGATGCTGGTTGAAGAGAGGTGGCCAAGTGAGGTGATGGCCTAAGGAGCAGCTGGCCTCCCCTACCACCCCCTCTCCAAAGGTGCCTCGCCTCAGGTCTGTCTCAGCGCCAGCCTCTCTCCTGAGATCCAACAAAGCAGCACCCTCACCCTGGATGCCTGCCCTGCCATGTCACACAGACCTCGTGTCACCCAAAAACTCTCTCCTCCGCCCACATCCCCACCTCAGGGGCCCGGCTGCTCACCCCTAACCCACGGCGCCGAGTTAGCAGGCGCCACCACCCCACAGCCCCCCGTCAGGTCCAGACCCATCCTCACAGCCTCTGCCCCAACACCCAGCCTCACTCTCTCCAATCTGCCTCCAAGGCCCAAATCCAACCTGCCCTCCCCTCCAAGGAAGCCTCACTTGTCACCCCATCCCCCAGAAGTCCTTCAGGACCAAGATCTGGAGGAAAGACAGGCCCGAGGCGTGGGGACACTCACTCTTTGGGGGCAGGGATCTTGGATGTGTTATCAAGGACGAGGTCAACCCGAAGGGGCTTCTTGAGAAGTTGCGACTTTTTCTGGACTTTGGTCCTCTTCTTTTTCAACTCTGGGGAAGGAGGAAGAAGAAAGAGTCCAGGCCTCGGTCTCGGCGCTGCCCGAAGCTAACCCCGCTTACCACTTCAGCTCCCCTGGAGCTGTGAGGCCTGCACCCCAGGTGCAGGGTGGGGCCCAACGTGCCCAAGCCCTGACCCTCCACCACACCCAGGTGCCATTAGGAGGCTGGCCCTGTGCTGGGGACTTGGAATCACACCCACAGCCACCCCAGGGGCGCCAAGACGCAGTAGGGAAGAGAAAGTGGCGGTCAGGGGACACTGAAGGCCAGTGAGGGCACAGAGCTGGCGTGGGGGTACAGCGGGATGGCCGATTCTCTGCACGACTAGCATTTTCTGCCTTGTATTTCTCCTTTTTTAAAAAATCAGGGTTTTACTCTGTGGCTCAAGCTAGAAAGCAGTGGCACTATCACGGTGACTACAGCCTCAACCAGTTGGGCTCATGCGATCCTTCTGCCTCAGCCTCCCAAGTAGCTGAGACCACAGGCCCGCACAAACACACCCAGTTCGTTTCTTTTTCTTGCAACTTCTATGTTGCCCAAACTAATCTCCAACCCCTGAGCTCAAGCAATCCTCCTAACTTGGTCTCCCAAAGGGTTGGGATGATGGGCATGAGCCACCACGTCCAACCCCACTTGTTCTTACTAACCTTTCTCTTACTAACGAAAACAGGTCTGCTCCTGCAAGCTAACAAGAGATCACTTAATGTGTTTCTAGCCCATTTACCAAGGCAGACCGTGGAATCTTACCTATCCGCGGAAATCACTGATAACCTAAAAACAGAAAACCCGTCTTCTCTAAATTAGTCTCCAGCTTGTTTTCCGTCTGTTCAGGGTTCACTTGCTCACACTGAAACCGACCCCCGTGCAGCAGGTATCTATCTGCCCTTCAGGCCAGGTCGTTCACACAGATCTCCTGAGGCTGCTGGAGGTTACCTGACAATAACAGACACGCGCCACCACCAAAGACCCTCCTCACCTTTTTCCTTGGAGCCAGTATCTACAAAGAAGAGCTTTTCATCGGGGGCCTCTGACAGCAAGCCACTGGGAGACGGAAACACAGAATGCTAGCCACAGGCGCGGGGGAGAGAGCAGGTTTAACCTCCGGGGGGGGGGGGGCCCGCCTTCCTCTTAGGCGCATCCAAGCACCCTCCTCCGGCCACGGGGCTCTTCCAGGCTAAGGCCTCGCCCCCCTGTTTACAGGACTTTAAAACCTTTCTTTTGTTTTTTTAAATTTTTGAGTCGGGGCCCTCACTGTGTCGTCCAGGCCGGAGTGCGGTGGCGTGATCGCGGCTCACCGCAGCCTCGACCTCCTGGGCTCAGGCGATCCTCCCTCCTCGGTCTCCCTAAGTGCGGAGATGGCAGGCACGTGAGCGACCACGCCCGGCCGGTTTACAGACTTAATATTTAGAGCTAGGACGGAATTACGGAACGCACATACGTTAAAAAAAAATCGTTCACCTACTTCAGATTTAGGTGGACGTCTTGTACAATTATCTGCTGAATCTGGTAACTCTACCAAGGTCCCCCGTTTCCCAGCCCGAGTCCCTCACCCGTCCTCCCGAATTCCCCGGCGGGACCCACGACACGCGTCCCCCGGGACCCGAACCCTCTCCACCCCCGCCTCCCACCTGACAGCGCCGACGCCGGCCCAGCTCCCGGAAGTCCCGCCCCCCGTACCCGCTCGTGCGCTCCTGCAGCCGCACGTCCTCCAGGAACTGGTCAACCTCCAGCCCCAGCGGCTCCTGAGCGAGCCGCCGCCAGCCTCGCTTTCTATTTCTGGGGCCTCGTTTCCGCCGCCTCAGCGCCGGGTCCACTGAAGTGGGCCGCAGCCCCAGGAAGCCAGAGTCGGCCTTCTTTTTCGAGCCCTGCCCGCCATCTCCGCTACTGCTTCCCGCCGCCATCTTGTCAAAGGAAGCATTCCGCCGCCGGCGCCCCGAAATCCGGTTTGGTGCGCGCGCGCGCAGACTTTCCCCCGCCTCTCGCGACGTACTTCCGGTGGCAGCCATCTTGGTAAAGTGGCTGGAATGTAAAAGAGGGCGAGAGGCTGCCATCTTGGTAAAGGGCAAA